TTCCCTAGATGCCTGCACCTTCTCCCTCGCCCTCTCCTTCCCCAAAGGCATGCATCTCCTGAACTCTAAGGGACCCCATGAGGCTTGCAACCAGGACAGCAAAGGGCAGTTCATCTCAGGCAAACTCCCCGAATCTGCCCCCAAGGCCCCCTTTCCTCTGACTTCTTTTTTTTTTTAAAGATGTTCTTTGTAATATACTTTTTTACAGTTTGTTTGGTTTTTTTAATCCTCACTCGAGTACATGTTTTCCATTGATTTTTAGAGAGAGTGGAAGGGAGAGGGAGAGACAGAGAGAAACACCGAAGTAAGAGAGACACATCGATTGGTTGCCTCCTGCATGGTCCCTGCAAACGAGGTACATGCCCTTGACTGGAATCGAACCTGGGACCCTTCAGTCTGCAGGCTGATGCTCTATCCACTGAGCCAACCTGGCTAGGGCTCCTCTGACTTCTGAGTGAGCCAAAGCAGCCCAGCCTGGGCTCATTTCTCCACCGAGTTCTCCTGTTCTCCTCGGCCAGTGGTCGGCAAACTCATTAGTCAACAGAGCCAAATATCAACAGGACAACGATTGAAATTTCTTTTGAGAGCCAAATTTTTTAAACTTAAACTATATAGGTAGGTACATTGTTATTAACTTAATTAGGTACTCCTAAGCTGGCCTTTGCTAAAAACATCCTCAATCGTCTTGTATACTTGTTTCAGATAGATGAATGTGGATGGGAGAGCTGGAAGGGGTCGACCTCAGCGAACATACTTCAAAACATTGTACCTCCCCCGCGCTGCGTATCCCGAGGCCCGCCTGCACCAACTCCCGTTGCCCGACCGACCGACTGACCGACACCCCCCACTTCTTCTAATTCCACTTCAAAATAGACTCGCCCAGGCCGAAAACTGACTTCTGTGCATGGGCCACGAAGTTTCAGTCGCACTGTACATGTGCGCCCACACTTGGTATTTTGTGGAAGAGCCACACTCAAGGGGCCAAAGAGCCGCATGTGGCTCGTGAGCCGCGGTTTGCCGACCACTGACGTAGGCGCTTCCTTGCTTCACTGTCCCTAGCTTTAATAAACATACTCTAATATTCACCCGAACTCATGTTGTGAAATTTTTCCTGCAGGAAGTCAAGAATTCACACACTGTCGGCCGGCCCTAGGCAGACCCACCAGTGGCCAGGCCCCCTTTCTGGTAACACTATGAAGCACAGAGAGCTGAAGTTGTAGTAGGCAGATAGGCAGGCATGAGCAGAGCCTGAACCATAGGCCAGGTACAGAAGGTCACCAGGGCAGAAAGCCCTGGGTGCCTAGCAATGGAAAACTGTAGGGTGGGACCTCACCCCCAGGGTGACCTTTCCTCCCCTAGCATATGGGTGATCATGCGGTTTCGACCCCTGACCTTTTATATCACTAGTCATGGGGTTCGGACCCTCCCCTGACCTTTCATCCGCTGGCATATCATTATCCAAGGTCTATACCCCCTGCAGGGAGCAACAAGGGGGTCAGAGGATAACCTCATACAAGCCCTTGCACAACCACTCCATTAAGCATTGTAAGCCCTAGAGATAGTATCTAGGCCTGAATTATTTCAGCTCCAGGCCCAGAAAAGCAACAAGGCCAAGCTGACATCAGGACCATCTGTGATGACTAATGACCCTTGCCCAGGCACCGATCAATCTGTGGTTAACAGGGAAAAAAAACCCATTGAAACCTGTAAAGAATTTTTGTGAGTTTATTTGAGCCAAACTGTCAACATATGCCAGGAAGCAGAACCTCAATGAATTGAGATAATGCTCCAGAGAATGGCGGGTTACATCTGTATTTATGCATTGCAATCAAAGGACAGGGATGTAGGTGGGTTACATGAAATCCATTGGTGTTAGACTAGTTATACATTGCAATCAAAGGAAAGGGACGTAGGCGGGTTACATGAAATCCATTGGTGTTAGACTAGAGAGGCGGGAGAAAGCAAAGCAGGGAAACCCCTGGGATTGGAGAAAAGTAAAATGATAGACACATACTGTTACTTAGGTGGGTGCAGGAACAATTAACATAACAATGAAGGAATTGCGGTCTCTGTCCTGGAGCCCAGGCACATTAGGCTGTGCTCCAAGGGGTCCAGAAAAAGGGAAGTTACAAGTTACCCAGACATTTCAAGGGTACGTTATTATAGATGCAAAAAGACAGATAGGCTCAGTTAAGGTAAAGGTTGACCTTGTCAGTGAAGATACTGGCTTAGGATATAACTACCCACCATAACTGCTTTTAGTGAAAGTTTAATTTCCGACCATCCTTTGTGGTTACTTTAAGTCTCTGAGTTTGCAAGACGGCCAAGCAGGCCTCCCCTGAGCTTGTCAGGTCAGCGTGTGGCCCCTTTCGTCCACACTGTGGAGACATCCTTTCACACACAACAAAGAATTACCAGGCCCCAAATGTCGGGATTGCTGAGGTTGAGAAACCTCACCTATTTTTTCACACTCTCCTGAAGTATTGTTGCTAATTTTTAGAAATGTAAAATAATATTTTAATTTTTAAAATCTTTATTGTTGAAAGTATTACGTATATCTCCTCATCCCCCCCATTGACCTCTCCCTGCCGGCCCCCCGCCTCCTACCCCAGGCCTTCACCACCCTATTGTCTGTGTTATGGGTTATGCATATATGCATACATGTTCATTGGTTGATCTCTTCCCACCTGCACACCCCTCCCTGCCTTCCCTCTGAGGGCCTTGGGGACAGGTTCAGGGAGTTTGCCTGGGACGAACTGCCCATTGCTGTTCTGATTGCAAGCTTCATGGGGTCCCTTAGAGTTCAGGAGATGCATGCCTTTGGGGAAGGCGAGGGGGAGTGGGGAGGTGTGCGTATCCTCCAGGGCAGTGGTTCTCAACCTTCCTAATGCCGCGACCCTTTAATACAGTTCTTCATGTTGTGGTGACCTCCAATTTCATTGTTACAAATTGAACATAATAAAGCATAGTGATTAATCACAAAAACAATATGTAATTATATATGTGTTTTCCGATGGTCTTAGGCTGTTGTGACGTACCCTGCGAATCACAGAAGGACGCCTCAAGAAGTCAAATTAAAGAGTCACATTTATTGCAATCAGGGACAATGAGGGGCCATTCCCCAAATCTCATAGAAACAAGGTGGTCGCAACTCCAGGTTTATATAGGCAAAAATCACAAAGGTATTGATTACATCCCAGGGTTTGGAATGAGGAACCTGGTTCGCAAAAAAAACAGTTTACAGAAGCAGAATTAAGCATGTTAATTATAGTTTTGGGTCTCCGGATCACTGAGTTGACAGGAACACATTATCTAGAGTCCTCGCACTGTCCTGGTCTTGGGACCACTGAGTCAACTGGAAAGCATTATCTGTGGTCACTAAGACAATTTAGGATAATTGTGCTGTCCTGTTTCCCAGGTACAGAAGAATGTGCTTCGATAACCAGCAAGATCACAATCAGTGGGATATTCACATTACAGTCAATAAGGCATTCAATCGAATGGGATGATTTATACAATTCAGAAAACCAAAGTAACTTTTCTATTGTTAAACAAAGCAAATAATACAGAAGCCAAACAGCAGGGTTAAAGTTAAACTACAGTTTCTACCTGAGATGATTGCTATCATACTTCAAGGCGACCCCTGTGAAAGGGTCGTTTGACTCCCAAAGGGGTCGCGACCCACAGGTTGAGAATCGCTGCTCTAGGGAGAAATATACCCTGGAACCTTCACGAGGAAGGGAGAGAGATAGAGAGTTAGAAACATCGATGAGAGAGAAACATCCATCAGCTGCCTCCTGCACATCTCCCACTGGGGATGTGCCCGCCACCAAGGTACATGCCCTTGATCAGAATCAAACAGGGGACCTTTCAGTCCGCAGGCCGACGCTCTATCTATTGAGCCAAACCGGTTAGGGCTCTATTGATTTTAAAGAGAGAGAAACATCAGTGTGACAGATAAACATTGCTGGTTACCTGGCAAATGGCACTAATTGGATTTCTGCTGTATCCCTGAGTAGGGTACTTGAAGCTATTTACCATTTTTTCCCCCCCCCCACTGGGGATCCCACCTGCAACCTGGGTATGTGCTCTAACCAGGAATCGAACCTTCAGGGTGCACCGGAAGATATTCCAACCTACTGAGCCACACCCGCCATCGCCAAACCATTTACTCTTAAGTGTCCTTGGTTTAGGGAATACAGGATTTACTAGATGGCTACAAACTGGTGTTTAACTGTCTATTTCCCTCTCCCCCTTGTCCTGGAATACTAGCCTGTCTCTTTAGGATTGTTGTAGGGATCAAATGAATTAATTCATGAAATGAAACAACTAAGAACAGGCTCCAGTCAAGTGTCAGCTATTGACTGAGTGCATGATAAGTGTTGGGTACTAGCCTAAGCCCCAAGGGTCCTCAGTCAACTGTCCCCACCACAAGCAAACTACTGGACTTGTTTTTAGACAAGTACTACAATTGAAGTATAACATGTTTAAAAAAATATTCAGCGGTTTAGATGTAAAGATCTAGTAGGCTTTTAAAAGCGATTCATGACTGGAGAAACGTCCCATCCAGCAACTAGAAGGGCTCTCTGAGGGGCTGCACAAAATGGAAGGTTTTTACAGGAAGCAGGTTGGGGCAAGGGCACTATAGTGAAAGAAAATAATGGAGTAATGTTGGGCCGGAGTATCTTTTCTCTGTGGGAAGAGAAGAGGAACTGGTTAAAATGCTCTGCGTGCTAGTTTTGATCCTATGAAGGACATGTCTGGAACCACTAGGCCTCTGGTTCCCCCAACCCCGGGACTTCAGATCCTAGCTTATCTGGCATTCACCTCCACTAGCTCCTGGACCTCTGGGCACTTAGGCCCGGTGCATGCTGGGACTTGTAGTCCCGTCCATCGGAGTCTAGCTCATAGGCCTTGCCTCCACCTCCTATTGGCCTTCCCTGAAGCCCCGCCCCGAAGTTCCACCTATCAGCGTGGCGCAGTCGGCCCACAAAAAGGAGACGGAGGTCACAGCACTGCAATCACTGCAAGGCGAACCCCCGGAGGTTGCTCGTCTGAGGCTGCGCGCCACAGAGGTTCCCACGGTCCTGCTGTTGCTACCGCCGTCGCCGCTGCGGTCCGCCGCCGCCGGTAACTTCCTTTGGGCCGGGGCGAGGGCCGCGCGTCTGCCGAGGCTCTGTGCCTCCCGGCTGGGATTCTCAGCCCCCCTCCCTCCCTCCCCCGGTCCTTTCAGAGTAATCGCTTCTCATCCTGCGAAGGAGAATTTCTGGAAAGGACGAATCCCTGGGGAAAACCCCGTGAGCTCTGAGCCCGCCATCCTGTGGGGTAGGGGTGGGGGTGGGCGTGGGGGTCGTCGTGGGCGTGGTGGGCTCTCTGTTGCGCGTGCTCTGCCTGAGCGCAGGCTCCACCTCCAAGAGCCGGGAGGGACCGGCTGGGGGAGAGAAGGGGGTGTTTGCTGAGGTTCCACAGCCCGCGACGGCTGGGCCGGGTCTGGGGCTTGGTTCCGACCTTTACCATCCAGGGACAGTGCAAGCTGCTGGTGCTTTTAATGTGGAGGATCGCACCCATTCCCAGCCAGTTCGCTGTAGCCTAAGGGGAAGGGCTGCCAAGGAAAACAAAAATGTCCAAAGCTCCCGGGTAGTTCTGGTTCTCCGAGGTCTGACCTGGTGGGAATTGCAGGGAGATTCACGTTAACCACGGAACTGAAAGCTAACTGGACGTGGTCCCCTGCCGCTAGCAGAATTGAGGTTATACCTCCTACACGGGTTCCATGGTGAGAACTGTAGAGTCTGGGGGCTGGGAGAAGGAACTTCGTGTCAGGGGTTTCTTTTTATGGGTGAAAACAAATGTCCACGGTTTGAGACTTTCCCTGCGGTATGTAGTGAGTGGAGGAGCCCAACTCTCTTTACTGTGAGGCTGCCTTAGTCAGCCAACATGTGTTGAGCCTTACGAAGCTTTCCGAGCTGGGATTATTTGGTAAAGGGGAACCAGCCCAGTGTTACAGGGGAGGGGCAGCATTAACCGCAGGGGAAGCGTAGAACTTTGCTGAGAAGGGGTGCTTGGGTGGAGTTTGAGGGAGGGGCAGGAGCTGCTGCGATGGAGGAGAAGACTTGTTTTCACCTGGAAAACAGCATGGGGAAGGCGTGGAAAGAGCACCGATTTGGGAGGTGGGGTCCTGGAGCCTGATGGAGCAAGAGGTTTCCTGTGGGCGGTGGGTTGCTTGAGCCATGAGAGGAGAGGAGTACATCTAGCAGGACCTCCTGTGCTGCTCTGAGAGATTGGGATTTTGTCCTGCGTATCTTAGATACCCTGTCGTGTGGAAAAGCGTTGGACAGTGAGCATCCACCCTCGGGAGCTCATTGCAGTAATTCCCAGGAGAATTGCTGAGGGTTTTAAAGGCTGGCAGTGGGAAGGGAGAGGAGAGGAGAGTTGTCAATTGGTATGGAGATGGAATACCCAGTATTGTTCAGTAAGAATGTATTGAAGAGGACTCTGTTCCTGGAATTTTCCAACCTATGACTATCTGTTAAGGAAATGCCCAGCATTTTTTTTAAAACTGCAGATGTTCGTTTGTAGATGGTAATCGAATCCCAGTTTATGGTGGGGAAATGGTCACATGTATCAAAGGTGTTAAGATCAGAATGATTAAACATACTGGACTCTTGAAACCCAGTAGATGCAAATTAAACCCATACTTAGATCACTTTCTGTCCATCAGATTAGAAATAATAAAGTTTGAGGAGGAGCAAGATGGGAGATGCCGACGAGGGTGCTTTTCGGCAGGCAGGACCCTCCACTGCCCCAATTTCGTTCAGCTTCATTTGCACGGCTGCCCAGAGACGGCTGGCAGACCCCGGAGATGGCCTGGGTGCGGCTCCCAAAGAGAAGGGTTTCTTGACTGTGGAAGGAAGGAAATTGCGGAGTGTTAATCCCTCAGAAGCCCCCAGGGAACTTGTAAATGGCCCTGGAAGACTGCCACCAACCCCGGCTCCTGGCCCATCTGCTGAGGCCATGGTGGCTGGGGTGCTGTCCCAGGCTGTGAAGGAGCTCGTGGAGGAATCCAAGAAGTCTCTGGAGGAGGAAGAGAATGAGGGTGTTGACCCCATACTCCCTCTCTCCATGATCCAGAACAGATGCATGCCCAGCGAGGAAGGGGCAGACAGCGAACCCTGGGCCGAGACCGTACCCAAAGAGGCAGATTACGAGGCAGTCCCTGTGGAGGCCTATGGGCTGGCCATGTTGCAGGGCATGGGCTGGAAACCTGGCCAGGGCATCGGCCGCACCTTCAGTGAAGTGGTGAAGCCCCGTGTGAACACACCGAGGCCTAAAAGGTTAGGGCTAGGCACCAGCCCGATTGGACTCCAGGCCCTGGCCCCCACCAGCCCCTTCCACCTGCTGAGGCCAGATGAGGAACACGAGAAAGATAAGGAGGACCAGCCTCAAGGACTGGCACCTGGAGGGGCTGTGGCAGTGCTTTCTGGCCCTCACCGAGGCCTCTATGGTAAGGTGGAAGGCGTCGATCCTGACAATGTTCAGGCCGCTGTTCGTTTGGCCGTGGGGAACCGCATGGTGACTGTGCAGGAGTACTTCCTCAGGACTGTTTCCTAGCAGGAATTTGACAAGAACTCCTTGAATCTCAGCCAGGTGAGCAAAACTTCTCCAGGGGGAACAGCCGTGTCCCGGAAGGCCTTCCAGGATCCAGACCTCCCCACCCAGCGGGGAGCGGAAGAGAGGAAGAGGAAACACCTTCCAGGCCGGCAAGAGGAGCTGACATCCAAGAGGGAGAAAGCAGCTTCCAGGAGGCAGCACTGGTTGCACAGGGACCTGCGTGTGCGGTTCGTGGACAAACTGCACAAGTATTATAACACCAAGATGACGATTGAAGATGTCTTCAGTCCAGATACTTGTATATGTCAGACAGATGCAGGCCAGGTCCTGGAAGGCGTCAGGGAAGACATGCTGGAGACCCTTGTCCCCAGGGTCCAGGGCAGCCGAGTGATGGTGGTGCTGGGGCCCCAGGCTGGAAGGGTGGGCCGTCTGCTGCGCTGGGACAGAGAGCAGAGCCAGGCCGTGGTTCACCTGCGGAGAGAGAATCGGCTGGTGGAGCTGCACTATGATGCTGTCTGCGAGTACGTGGGTCCCCGTGACTCGGATGAAGACTGACCCATGGGTTCACTCTGTTCCCAGGCAGTTACCGGTTCTGTCCTGTGAAAAGCCCGTCTTTGTGAAGGTGGGGAGGCCATTGTTCCGTCCTGCATGTGCAGCCCTGGAC